CGGAAAGGTGCTGCTCCGGCTCCCCCGGCTCCCGGCCCCGCGGCCGCGGCGGGGCCGAGCGTGTGCGGAGGCAGACCCAGGGCTTGTCACTGGTTGAAGGTGGGTTTTTCTTCGGATCGGAGGTGGCGAGTTTTCTGTGCTCTCTGTTCTTGCCTGGCGGTTTAATTTACCAGCCAGCGTGAGCTTCGTTCCAGCTCGCGTGTGAAATGCGAAATTAAGGTTGTGCTTGGTGGCTTCGACTACACTCGGCTGATTGTTCCCACCAGATTTTCTTTTTCTTTCTGTGGAGTCTGACTTAGTGCTTTTAAATGCCCTTTGCTTTCGGAGCAGTGGGTTGCAGAGGGTTCGGTGAGCAGGAATGATGGGGTGTGCAGGCGGAAATGAGGGGGTGTTTTAAGGATCCTGAGTCCCTGCAGGACTCCAGGACTAACCCCAGCAGGTTGTGGTAGTTTCTTGTCCTCGCATCCAGAGAGGGTAGAATGGAGGGGGAACCTCAGCGACGGCGTAGTTTAGAGACATTAGTTAGAGCGGGTCCTGGGCTTCTTTCTGTTCTCTGCCTTAAGACCGTGTTTTTGGTACAGAGTACTAGTGGAGCTGGGCATTTTAAAAAAAATATTACAGTCTTCAATTGGGTTGCATCTGTAGACTTTGGAAGAAATTTGTGTGAAAAATATTCTAATCTACCATTGACTGTAAGTGGGGACATTTTTGTATTTGGTAAGTTATGAATCATACATTATAAATCAGAAGTTACTACTATTACAGGAACATGCTTATTTTATATCAGGATGTTAGTGTGCTTGTTTATTACAAGAAGTACGTTGATTCACAGTTCTAGGGGATTTTGAAAATCAGGATCTGTCGTACAAGTAGATTTTTAAGTTAGAGGAAATACAGATAATTACAGCAGCCAAAATTTCTCCATACTCCTTTGAAGGCCTAACACTTGTGTATGTTACCTTGTTATATGAGTGTACCCCAATTTAAGCTTTTAAAAGTCATTTCACTCTTTGAAATACGAATACTCTGTTATTCACAGAACGATACGTTGAACTGTGTTAGTGTCTATGAGATACTAAGAACTATTTTATTCCTCATATATTCATCTTTATGTTCCGCAGATGACTAATAAGCTAGTTTAGAATCCTGATTTCTGCTGAAAATGACCTCTGATTTTGGGACTACCATTTTAGTATGGAATATGTTTAATTTTTTGGAAAATGCCTTGGTTAATTGCCTCATCATTAATCTGAAGCTTGTAACACCATACAGATAATGAAGCAACAGCACCAAAGCCAGTCTTTTGAGTTTTAAAAAATAGTAGACATTTTCCTTCATGAAAACTGCTAGTGAACTGACAGTGAGCTTTCTTTAGATGAGAGCTGTTGTGGTCTTACGTTCAGTATTCCCTATGAAGGCATATTTCATTTTAATTTTTGTTAGGTTCATAAACAGGAAGGCATTACTTCCCTCTTGATTCTACTTTTTAAAAGCTGGAAAAACCTCTAATTTTTATGGCACGGGGTCTCTTGCTTACATTCTTCTTGTATGATGTGGTCCACCGCCTCTCTTGGAATTGGACTCTGGCCAGGTCCCCAGCATCATTGTAATCCGCTGATGAAGGAGATCATTACCAGGTGGTTTAGGCAATTTGTGACTTGACAGGATTTCCTCCCTCCCTGAAATGCTTCCTGTCGTTTATTCTCTCTTTCTCTCTCTCCCTTTTGTTTTGGTTGTTTTCATTTTTGGTTTCTTTTTTTAGGATTTCAGATGCATGCCAGGTTTCCATTGATTGCCAGAATCCTCGATCACTCCACATGGATCCCCAAAATCAACATGGCAGTGGCAGTTCACTAGTTGTGCTCCAGCAGCCTTCTTTGGATGGCCATCAGAGATTAGACTATGAGAGAGAGATTCAGCCTGCTGCTATTTTGTCCTTAGACCAAATTAAGGCCATCAGAGGCAGCAATGAGTACACTGAAGGACCTTCAGTGGTAAAAAGACCTGCTCCACGGACAGCACCAAGACAAGAAAAGCATGAACGGACTCATGAAATCATTCCAATCAATGTGAATAACAACTATGAGCAGAGACCTACAAGCCACCTGGGACACGTGGGACTCCCCAGTAATGCCAGGGGCCCCATTCTGAGCAGGTCAACCAGCACTGGGAGTGCAGCCAGTTCTGGGAGCAACAGCAGTGCCTCTTCTGAGCAGGGACTGTTAGGAAGGTCACCGCCAACCAGGCCAGTTCCTGGCTATAGGTCCGAAAGGGCGATCCGGACCCAGCCCAAACAGTTGCTTGTGGATGACTTGAAGGGTTCCCTGAAGGAGGACCTGACACAGCACAAGTTCATTTGTGAACAGTGTGGGAAGTGCAAGTGTGGGGAGTGCACAGCTCCCAGGACCCTGCCGTCCTGTTTGGCCTGCAACCGGCAGTGCCTGTGCTCTGCTGAGAGCATGGTAGAGTACGGGACCTGCATGTGCTTGGTCAAGGGCATCTTCTACCACTGCTCCAATGACGATGAAGGGGACTCTTACTCGGATAACCCTTGCTCCTGTTCACAGTCACACTGCTGCTCTAGATACCTGTGTATGGGAGCCATGTCTCTGTGTTTACCTTGCTTACTCTGTTATCCTCCTGCTAAGGGATGCCTGAAGCTGTGCAGGGGGTGTTATGACTGGATTCATCGCCCAGGGTGCAGATGTAAGAACTCCAACACCGTCTATTGTAAGCTGGAGAGCTGCCCTTCCCGGGGTCAGGGGAAACCATCATGATTTTTGGAGGTGGGTTGGACCTCCTGAACTTGGAGCTTTCCGGTTGTGGCTGTTAGAGAATATACTATTAGATACTGATTTTCTTTTCCTTAGAGTTTTTCCCTCTTCCCTGCCTTCTCTTCCCCTGTTCCCAAGGTTTGACTTCTGGATTTTACTCTTCTCTTCTGGACGATCTTCAGTGAGAGCGGACTATGAAACTGCACCTGGCTCCCACTTGTGACAAGAGCCTTTGCCATCCCTTTGAGAGAGTTTTGAGAGCCAGTGGGCTTTTGTGTGGCCTCTTTGTCCTGCAGCAACTTTCCAAAGTTGTGTACGTGAACATAAGACACCCACTCAGACGGGAGGATTTAGAGCTGTTTGTGATTGGGTACTGTGGGAGCAGGGAAATTGGTTTTCAAAGAAGCAACCGTTTAATTGCTTAAATAAGCTATGTATTAAATCTCTCTCCAATTAGAGCTGTCTTCCTCGCATTGGACCGGTAAATAGAATGGGAGGATATATTTTTGTTATAACATAAAAGTTTTCCTTTAACCACTGCCCTCCTTTTTTTGTCCGTCAGAGTTCCCTCAGTTTGGGCGTGGCCTTCCTCTGAGATGCCAGCTGTGGCCCCCTCCCCTTTCCTCCTGTGTAATTTTAGATCTCGCTTTACAGTGTAAGTCTTCACATTGGAGATATATTGTTTGTAACTCGCTCATCCCTATTCTAGCTTTCATATTCGTGAAGGACTCAACTACCTTCCTTCCATACCCCATGCTCATCAAAAATTCGTGTTGTCATTGAGGGCACTTGGATGATTGAAGTTGAAATGATAGCTGATCAATCTATCGGTGTCACAGAACTATGCTGCCTAAAGTGATCTTGGCTCCTTAATGGTCCTTTCGGCCCCTTGGTTAGTTAACAGCTGAGTAACCCTAATCTATTCTGTGTTTTCATTGCCTTAAACCACAAATTGTGGTGCTTTTTGTATATTTTATGTATAAATCACAAAGTTGAATTCTGACTATTTTTAAGACAAAAGTCTGTTAAACTTTTTTATTGTAAAGAATATTTATTATGCGAATCTCTATTATTTTATGATATTTATTGCAAAAGACTGTTGAAATGTACTCATGTCTGAATATAACAAAATATCAATACTTAACGGAAAATAAGGCGACACGAAGAAAGTACGTATGTTAACTATAATGCAGAAAATATATTAATTAATGAAATTGTCTCCCGATTTCTTCATTTGTTTACCTGTACTGTTGAGGTGATTTTATTATTTGCCTTGACTTTTTTTCATCCTCTCACCCATTTTAATTCTTTCCCTTCACATATTAAATGTAGACACTGGTGATCTAAATTATAAGCTGGACATTTTTTGGAAAGTGTATTAGTTAAAGTTTTGAAATCCAAATTCTGTTATATCAACTGCTCAAGTGAAAAGCATTTACCTTGACTGTCTTGGATTAATTAGAAGTTAGTCTTAATCTGTAAGACTTAAAAAGAATTTAGTTTTGAGGACATGCTAGGAGTCTCTGATATTGGAAAACATTTTGGAAGTTGGATGTACCAAGGGAATAGTTCAGTGTGTCAGATTTTAAAAAAATTCCTACCCCTTCCTTTTAGTTTCTTTAGTAAGTACTCAGTGTGATCTGATCATGTTGCACTTCTTCATGTCTGGTGGGGTGAAAAATCTGGGTCCAAAACTTCACACAGATCAAATATGGTGATATTGTACTTTTTAGTCAACCACGGCACAGGTAGGATCTTCGGATCTGATAAAATTTTTGATCATGTGAGTCCTCTGACTCAGTCGTACCAGTTCTCTAGGGCTAAATGACACTGTCAGTAGTTATCTGCATTTGAGAATAATTATTTACATCTGAAAATAAGATGTTGACATAATTTGAACCCGGTTTATCAAAACTCACGCGGCTTTTTGTTTTGGTCATTGCTCATAGATAGTGTGACTACTAATTTAGGAGCATTTGATCTTTATAAATAGGCCTTGCCCCTGCTTTTATACAGACAGGGTGTAATTGGTAGAAATTTGTAATAGTGCTTTTCTGTCAAGCCATTAAGCCTATTAATGGGTAGCATGACAGTTGATATTCTCTCTGTCCTGAAAGTAGAAGTTTCTTGTTAAATGTTTGCTTTGAAAGGTGACTTCATGATCTACAGTATTTTAAAATGTGAACTTGAGTATTTTCCTCTCACACTCAAGTTACGTGATGTTATCACTGATCTCTTAATATTTACAGTATTTCCTTGAGATTCAGCTCATTAGCGAAGTATGTAAACATAGTCTCCCTCAAAATACTGTGTGGTTTTTCCTATTATTATTCAGATACTTGGTCTAATTAGGAGTTGGTGGGAGAGCTGTCTAGCTATAATAAGCAGACTAAGGAGCAGTAGCTTTTATTGAAAGAAATTTATAACTTTTATGAGAATGAGGTATGCTGTACAGTTTAAACTCCTAGCTATCTGGAGAATTCATTAAAGGCATGTTAACATGGTGGTCTGCTGCTTCTAGAGCATATATGTACTCTGGCATAATATCAGGACTTGCTCTTGGAAGTAACAATGGGCTGGAGGTTCACATTTCTAAGAGGCTTGTCAGGTAACAAACACGAACCCTTAGATTGAAAACTTCCTCCGCTCTGATGGTTTAAACCTGAGGATGATAAATATTAGGGTGTGTCCTCCTAAGTGCTTATGAGTCCTGGGCTGTTGAACCTAATACAGATCACCATTCAAAGTGTTAACTAAGACTTTGAAAGAGCTGAACTTTCTTACAATAGCACTGTCATGTATTTAATACAGTGCTGCTCAATGAGAAATGACACACCAAATATATGGGCAGACCTTTTTATTCCACATATTTGTTCCTTATTTTCCAATCAGGATAGCCTGACAGAATGGATTTTCTGTGAAATGGTTTCTTTCTTACTGCCAATTTTTATAAGTCAAAGAAGTCTTACTTATTTAGATAATCTAATTATAAATAAAACCAATACAGGATTTCTATAATTGAGTAGCTTCCTGTTAACAGAGTTTATAAAATGTAATGTGGCCAGGAAATGGAATCTGACAAAGGAGATACATTTCTTTTTGTGAAGACCTAAGGTGAATCTTTAAAGATTATTATATTTAAACACTACATTTAGTGTTATTACATGATTTGCAAAGTTCAAACCATAGAACATTCCAGTTTTTGCTTAACTGAAACAAAAAACAGTAGTTGTTAAAGTGAAAGGAGAGGAGTTAAAAACTGAGTAGTTTTTACCCTGAAATTGACATTAGAACCCAATTCAGAAGACTAATCCCCACAGGATTGATTTAATTTTAGAAGTTACCTCCTTTTCCTAATTCTTTTCTTTTTAAAGTAAAGTGACACATCTTATGGCAGATTTTATGTATAGCTCTTTATACAAAAAACAATCCCTTTCTGAAACATTGAAATGTTAAACAGAAAAAAAAGCAATGTTTTTGTCTTAAACTCTATAATCCTAATGTCAGAAAAGCCTCCCCCTTTTACATTTTTAGTTTCAACAGTTTGTTTTTTTTTTTGGTTTTTTTTTTTTTTTTGGTTTTTCTCCGGTACCAGGAACCAAACTCACGACCTTGCGCTTGCCAGGCAAGCGCTTTTGCCACTGAGCTAAATCCCCAGCCCCTAGTTTGTTTGTTTTTTTAAACGTCTTGAAAACAAAACTAGCTTCTTTTGGTCAATTAATTAATATTTGCAAGCCTACTTTTGTGCTCGTTTTGGCAGCACATATGCTAACATTGGAAGCCTACTTTTTCTATTTTACTGAGTAGATAAAATAGCCTATACCTACCAGACAGTTATTGGTCCTTATATTCTGTATTACCAAGCCATTTTGCTATACTTATTGAAAACCTGCTATGTGTATTATTCTATATACAATAGAATTTTAGAGGTAGAAATAGATCTCAGAGTTATCTTAATGTTTCTCAACCATGTATGAAAATAAATAGGTTACTTTTAAAAAATTTTAAGTTCAGAAGTCTATGTCATAGCACTATCAGAAGGATCTCAAAGAGAGGGATCTACTATTCTGTATTTTCAAAACTTCTTGGGTGATTTCATCAGGTAATTTTGGAACTGATTCGTTTAGCTTTATATTTTCATTTTGAGAATGTAGAAAAAAAAGGCAAGGCTTGAGAAGATAAACTGTATGATAGCTAGGTTAGAGCCAGAAGTCTTTCATCTGATAAAGAATTTGCTTTTCTTAGCAGCCAGCTTAGTGCCTTTCTGGTGCACATTAACCTTTACCATCCCCTTTATCAGAAAGTCTTTGCTTCATAATTAATGTGTTTGTAATTTAAGAAATGTTATTCTACACATATTGTTTGAATTTAGATATCAGGAGTAAATAGCAAATGACTCCATTGCTATTATTTTTCATACATTAATATTAAAATTAACAAGTTTATTGTCCAGGTTTATATGGTAGGAGTAGCACCAATTAATCACTTTGTAAAAGGTAATAGTAACTTGGTGTATAGATTTGAGGACTCATGTGACAGTTTTTCTTAATCACTTTTCTGACATTAGGATTATAGAGACTAAAAAGCTGCATTAAGTACTCTGTTTCCCATTTTTAAAGAGTGTGATGTTACCCGTCAGGTGATATCATAATAATTCTAATTGCAAAAGCTATCAGAGATCATGGAACTGTTTTGAACTGGGTATTTAGGTAAAGTATACTGGAAGCTACATTCACCAGTAGTCTTAGAACTTACTTTGATAAAAGGATCAGAGAACCATAATTTTCATAAAGAAAAATTTAAAGGCCATCTAATCTAGTCCATTAGGGTTGAAAATCCATGTTTAGAGACGTTACTTAAGGTCATGACCTAGGTGCCAAAATAAACTTTATAAAAGACTACTTGTTGCATATGCTTGCATGGCAAATGAAAGGAAGGAAGGAGAATTGGCTGGAGGGCTTGGGGGTTGAATGCAAGTTTCAGGTTAATTTATAAGCAATGAAATTGAACGAATGTTTTAGAGCACAGTTAGGCCCACAGCAAAATCAGTGCCATAAGAAGACAGCCAGATAAAAATACCTGAGTAAATCTGATACAAGAAAACTAGGTGCACACTGAGTTTGACTAATAGTGGTTCTCAGCCTGTAGATTAAAGTTATGAGGAAAAGATAACCACACCAACAGTGAGCAAAAGTAGACACACACTACCCCATGGTTAGACCAGAAACTAGGAATGGGCTTTGGCCTTTGTTTCACGAACACCCATGATTCTGAAGCCCAGCCAGCAAAAGCCACTGAGTTACACTAGAGTCAAGTGCACGGAAATTGCAGGTTAACATCGCAGAGCGTAAGAGGCCAAGTGAGAAGAGGTCTTTGACTAGCTTGAGGATTAGTGAAAATGGAAAGAGGTAAATGTCAGAAGTATTGCAGATTGCAAAGTGCAGCACTTTGCAGTTATTTCTACGTGGGTTTGAGATGAATAGTTGAAAATAATATAAAGGTTTGGGCCTAGACGAATGGGGCAGTGGTATTTGGGGTATGTAGAATGGAAGAAGCTGTGAGTTCTAGTGCAGTGACCGCTTAGGACCAAGTAGAATTGCAGGCAAGTTGCTGTGGAAAAGATCTAGAGTTCAAGAGAGGTGAGTGAAGACCTGTCCTCATGGGGGTGGATAGGAATGGGGTTTTAAATCCCAAAGCGAAAGAATGGCATTAATAGACGCCTCGGGACAAACCCAAAGGAGCTGCCTACATTTGTGGGGGAGGGCATAGGGCCAGTAGACAGATGAGATGACTAAAGAGTTTTAGGCCCGAGAGATCAGCATGTTACTGAGCCAAACGGAAGAGACTTTCAAGGTGGAAATTAGTAATCAAATGTTAAAAGCCGCTCAGACTTCCAATTAACCTTGGTGAGTGGTGTTCAGGTGAAGTTCTAATGAAGACCAGATTGCGTAAGATGAAGTGAGAGGACAGGAAGGACACGCAGGTCACTTGCAGGCTGTTCATGCTAGGACTCCTCAGATGGCATAAGAGTAACTAAGGCAGTGAACACCTGAGAGGGTTCTTAGAATAACAAACTGGAAGACAGCAGGGCCAGGAGAGGGAAGAAATGGAGCAGGGGAACAGTTGAAAGGCACCATCGTAGGAGGTGGAGAAGCAGGAAGAGAGACACAAAGAAGACCTTTGACCTTGACAAGGGCTATTTCACTCAGAGCAAAGGAA